CAACCTGGTACCGGTGGTATTCAAGCTTCCGTTGCTCTCGATTTCGATTCCCGCGCGCCTCGTACATTGTTGCGTAAGGGAAATAACTACTGGAGCGTGGAAAAATCATCGTCGGGGTTGATTTATCAATATGGGTCAAGAAGTACGTGGATAACATTATTGGCTAAAAGATGACCCCTCACTTCATACAAATATCGCTTCTTTGGGCATTTCGTAATACTTTGTATCGTGTGGACTAATCCGGGATTCAACCTCAAGGTTTTTTTTTCTTCATTCCCAAATGAATTGCTAGTGACATAACTGGTGCTAGTAAGGCCGCATATATCTACATTGAACTCTGATGAACTCTCTTCATCCGCTTTTGACAGAACGGATTACGATAATACTCAACTATCTCGTTTTCTGCAAAAAATGTTTAGAGTAGAGTCAATGCAATTGGTGTGAATGCACTGAGCTGGCGCCAATAATCCAGCATACCCATTCATATTTTCATGGCGATTTAACCCTATCGATTTATGTTGATACTCAGTCATTTTTCCCATTTCTTTTCCCACCGATAAATTGTGTTTCAAAAAAAAATTGAAACATTGAACCCAAGGATGAGCTTTATCTCGCGTGAATGACGTCAGAATAACTAATCTGCGGATAAAGTAGAAACTGATGTCTCGAACGTTGACCTGCCCTTGCCAATTTATATTCGGTATCCAGTGGAGTTCTAATTCCCCTGAACGACAGCGGATGTACGACCTCCATATGACTTTTCTAATTTCATTATCAGATATTACCATTTTTTTCGTAACTTGGCCCCTTCTTGGGGCCCTCAATCCTTCCTCTCCCTCTCCTATGTAACACTTTATGTGTCCTCCGCCAGTGATACCACTTTTTTTCAACTTGCCAATTCATTCCATTTCTATTTCCTCTCCGTTCAGTTTAGAGTCTATCCATAGATAGGAAAATACGGGAGTTGGTAATGTAGTTTGAAGCTACAGTGGTTGAGTTTGAAAATAATGTGTAGGTCTTGAATTACAGAATTATGCTCGAAGCAGAGTTGAAATAGGAATAGGGTGGTCGGTGAGTCGAAACGACGAGATTCCATGTTAAATACGAAGATAGAGAGTGAGCACGATACACTCATTTATATATTCAAAGTTTTGCACGTGCATCATATCAGCTAATCTCACATGACGGTGGGAGATCAGAGCGTACACTCTTATTATTAAAATGTTTCGCAGATATACGAGTAGTCCAGGTAAGATTGAAGTGAAAATTCTAGCTATCGGTGCTTTGAACCTGACGGAAATATCAGTAAACAGCATTCGAGGTCGATACACTGTTAAAATTTGAGTGCAATTAGTGGTAGTGCTAACGTCCTCCTCCGATTTCACACACTTATGCTCGTCGCAAAGCTCTTGAAGTACTCTCTGGAAGGATTACGGTTAAGACTTCACATTATAGGAAGTCTTTTTGCGGTGTTGGAGATGTGCGATAATTGTGCATAACAGGAATCCAAACAGGAATTCCTGTGGTGAGTTGATTAGAGGGAAACAGATGATCATTTTTTATTAAAACACTGTGGTTTTGTGAATTGTTTGTTTTTCAAGTGGGTAATAGGCCTCATTTCTTCCGATATTCTTCTGTTAGATTTCATGATATGCATTGATAAAAAGGATTAGTTATTGTTAACAAATGGATTTGGTTGGAGGCTAGGGTCTATTCGCTCTCAGCAAATGGTCATTCTTTAATTATTAACAAACGTATGTTTGAGGAGCCTTGCTTGAATCGACTTTCACCTTTCAACTGAAATAAGAACCATTCGTAAACTATTAATGAATATTTATTTGGTCATATTTAACTCTACCATTCGCTAATAGTTAACGAATCTCGTTTGGAATCAATGAATCATACTATCAGTGTGGCATTTTTCGTAAAGTCCCTTGGTGTGCAAAACAAAATACTGTAATTTGGAGTGTTGTACAATTACAGATATACATTTTTGGCTGCTATTTCCGGAATACTTCTTGAAAATTCTTGTCAAGTGATAGTTCCACTGAAATTTTAAGGAATTTAGTCATAGAAAATTGACAATTTCATGGAAGTATCAATCGCAACTATGGCTTTCAATTCAATTATTCCTGGAAAATCAATAAGAAACAGAAAAATTCAGGTGAATATATTTTTGCATTCAAGATTGAAAGGAAATTAAGCGTAATTTGACACTTAATATTCAAATTTCGATTGGAAATTTAAAAAAGTTGTGGAATTTCGTTTTTTTGCTGCTAAAAAAATGAAAAATTCTATTGAATTATCACACTCTTTTCTTTGCCGGGTCAAGGGGTATTCGGAGGATAGTGCCCTCACGCGTATGAAAAAATTAAATAGAAAAACTTCGATTTTTCTATATGAATGTTCTCTTAAAATTTTTTCTATAAGAGTACTTGAAACAAAATATAGCGGAAGAAACTTTGAAAATCTGTGCCCAATAATTTTAATAGAATCCCCATAGAATTTCTTGAGAATTCCAATAGAATTTCGTACCGAATTCGCTAAGGTTTTCTATTTAATTTTTTCATACGTGCAATTCTGACTTTGACCGAAAAGAACACTGTATTCAGGGTTACATGATATTTTTCACCAAAATGTGGCGAATACCTTTCAAAAGAAGGAAAAACTGGTTTATTTGAATCAAATAAATAATTGATTTGATTCTAACAGAGGATTCATTTGATTTAAATGAAGTTTATTTAATCCAAATGAATCATTTTCCTGGGTGTACTGCGGAGTTATCCTTATTATGTTTGATAATTCCTCCACAGCCCGCAGACATGTAGAGTATTTTCGTGTTACTAATGATATATGATGAATTAAAAAAATGATACATGGGAAATCTTATTCGCATATATAGTTAGGGGTTTCTAATTTTTATTCTAACATCAATCAGCAGGACTTCCTGGGACGATTAGATTTCTCCAAATGAGAGGCATATTGTTGATGCTGATAAAAAGCCTCTTCTGTGGTTTGGGGATTTTCTTGTCCTTTGAACAGTATCATCATTAATTGCTTCCCGGGCACGTGCAGATGGAAATTACACACCGGATGTTCATATCGGGATATCAAACTATTTTTACGTATTTCCCTTTTTCTTCTTCATTTCGCTAGGTTCGGTTTTGTCAAATTACGCGGGTAATTGTATATTCATACGTGGAATTACTCACACAAAGTGGTGTAACAACGCTCAGTCGGAATCAATTGGACATTGAATGGTTCACGTAACCATACCTAGTGGTGAGGTAATAATAATATCGGAATTCAGAGAAAACAAGTCGTTATACTCAGCAAAGGATTGTAATTGTCCGTTGCATTCCATGATGAACTCAATTGTAATTTCAAGAATATTATTGGATTCCAAACATGGGTGCCTATGCGTTCTACCAAAATTGTAAAATATTCCCTTTTAATGACTCATATCTCAATTAAGGAGACACCACTATGAGTTTTAAAAATCGCGGGCGATGGGAGTGAGATTTCTCATACACTGAAGATTATATGTGTCTAAAAACGAATAATTGGTGCAAAAAAATTGATTGTTTGTTGGTCGTTGCCCTGCACACGCTTCAAATGTTTAAAATAGTTCAGGGCCTCCAATTTTTGAGCTACAGCGGTTTTTTTTTATTTTTGGAAAAAATGTGTACAATAACAATTATTTTTTTGCAATTTAACTCGTACATAGTTAATTTCGTTTTTTTTTAATCAAAAATTGAAAGTTTCTGAAAGAATCGAAAATATATTTTAAATATTATAACGTAATTTCTTTACGTATTTTACATGAATGGCGCAAATTCTTATATTAAACAAAACAAAATTAGCTGTGTAGGAGTCGAATTTCAAAAAACTGATTAATAATTGTTATTGTACACATTTTTTTTCAAAAATTTTGAATAAAACACTCTGTAGCTCAAAAATTGGAGGCCCTGGACTATTTTCAACATTTTAAGCGTCTGCGGGGCAAACGAACAATAAACCACTATTTTTTTTGCACTAATTATTCATTTTTAGACATATATAATCGATCTTCAATGTGTGAGAAATCTCATTCCAATGGGCCGCGACTTTTAAAACTCATAGTAGTCTCCCTTTAACTGGATTAATGAGTGACGTTATGATTACTGTTGATAAAAATAATTAAACAAATCACCTGTCTCGTCTAATTTGCCATAAAATTTTACGATGATCTCGTCGGATTTGTAGTGACATTATTCCTCGTGTCTAGTCTAGCATAAAAAACTCCGACATATGAGGGTGATAAAAATGTCTCACCTCCAAACGTTTTCACGGGCAATCAGTCACACTGGTGGCCTCGCTTGGATTCTAACCTACGCCAATAAATTTCAGTGGCTGTTTTGTCTTGACATCCATGTTTCGAGTCGTTTCCTGGTCGTCTACTGTAGCTGAAAAATTCTTTAAAATAACTTTTGTCACTTATGAGAGAGCACAGAAAATAAATAGGAAAGCCTCTTGTTCCATTTCCTATCCGTGCTCTTTCCGCTTGATTGAAGTGAGACCTTGGCTGGTGTGGAGAATTCGAAAATAGAAAAAACTCAGTGGATGACTTCCGTTTGATGCGAACGAACCCCATACCCATTTAAAATCACAGCTCACCCACTGTTTCAACTCCTACGCTCATCAGCTTAATTTATTTGAATATTCAATTTGCGTCTGAACTTATTTCGGGTCCCGATGGAGTATCAACACCGGGGAATAGATTCACGCTAGTGTAGATACGCGATTGAAACGAAACTCAGTTTCCTCGAGAATCTATTTTTCATTGTCTTGTAATTTATTGATGTACATCTGACATTTTTATTCAATCCTCATCCCACTTTTTGCAATATATTTCACTAAGAAATGTCTAGTTTTGTGAGTTGATAGTTGCATTTCTCATAGAGAAGAGGGTCTTTTTCTATTTTTTCTCAGAATTTAATGAAGTACTTTTTCTATTTCAGATCTTTGGAGGTTTTCGAGAATCATGGAATAACATTATCAGATATTCTGAAGGCCCAACGAAGCGCTGGTGGTTCGGGTCTCGGTGGCCCTCTACGATTCCCAAATTCTCTCATTCTCTGGCTACGATGTGATCAGGTAAATATCCAATATAACCTGAAATCCCTTCATCTCCAAGGACACAAGTTTCAGAAAATTATAATTTCCGTATTCACTGTGAGGTTGAGCATTGAATTAACCTCTGGCTGTTATTACCTCATAATAATTCATAAGCACTGCGGCTGCGATGAAATACCTCGATCAGATTTACGAGCATTTCAATTCATCTTGTATCCAGCTCACCTCTGTATACCTACAAAGAGCGATTTTGTATCCACTGGGCTGACGTCCTTGTGAGTTAACGCGGCCCCAGCACTATAGTTAACGGCATGAATTCTAGTCACCATGGAATTATTCAAGCCAATCCCGATAAATGTAAACTTTCCCTGAAACATTAAGTAACTCTGTTCTCGCTCTTATTTTCCGCTGGTCTCTACTTCTCTACTTGGCCATTGAATCCACACTAAAACCTCTCGGGCAGGCGGTGTATGTACTGGACAGCTGAGGAATAATCATGTTTTTTGCATCTAAAACACTAACTCTGAATAAAACCGACTATTCTGAAGTTTTTTTCTACTGTTCATCTTGATTTCCTTCAATCATAAATGGTTGGAAAACAGACGGAAGCCGAATGAGCGATATTACCTGAATACGGATGATACTGTTCAGTATTCCGTATAGTTGACTTGTATTCGATAATTGTTACGTTGCAAAATTCTTCGGTGCAAAATTCAATTCAATGAATGATACCGAATTTTCGCTCAGAAACATGAAATCACCCTCTCTAGTAAAAAAATCTTACATACACGGAGAGTAAACTTGGATGAAAATTACCTAGAAAATCGTAGCAAATTTTATTGTACGAAAGATAATCGAGGAGTGAATTGTAACTTACTTACTTTTCATCGAACGTCAGTTCGTCCAATGATTCTTTTCGGTCAACTTTTTTTCGTTCAATCATTTTTTCGCCCATTTTTTTTGTCAATCCAATTTTTTCTTGTAAATAATATCGAGAATTATTCTGGTTCCCCTGCTACCTACTCCAAGATCCTATCCAACAAAATCCTGTGACGTCATAATATGTTTAGTAAAAAAACACATCGATGGATTATCGATGAAAAATTGTCCTGAAATAAGGGAATTTGGATTCATTATCCTGAATCCAAAAATTATCCTGATGTATAGTACAATTTGCCGCACTGGTAGGGTATTTTTTTTTTGCCCCCATCTGCAGGTCACGGAGACGAATGGAAGTAAAATTTGAACTACGCGTTCGATACAAAATCATTCTCCGTTAGAAACAAAATTATTCGCAATATTCACGGTATAGACACCGCCACTCTACAAGAGGTCCCAGAATGGATCTGACATAACATGAGGGTAGTTCGGGAAGATTATTTGGAGACGAAAACTAATGAAATTTTTATCTCCGGCGCATCGTTAAGGAGTTATTCGTCAACAAAGCAAACATCCACTGCAAATCCCCCTCTTTTTGAAAATTCATATCTCCTCTCTCCCTTCGGCTGGGGAAATAAAAATGATGGCAATCGATTAGCTATTTAATGCACACTGATTTGAAAAAACAACGTTCTCCTATCATAATGTCCGGGTGAGAAAACTCGTAATGAATTTCAATACGACGTTATTGGCTTCCTGAACACAAGGTGACTCTAAAAATCAGAGTCAATGTAAAAAACTAGTATCTTCACTCTCATTCAATATCAGGAAATGAAATTGATTGGAATCGATTGGACATTTAATACCATTATCTCTCCCCCTTTAATGGGAAAGAGAGTATGATCTCTCCATCGGGGAATAGCGTTTGATTGGCTGTCCTTGTTTTTTTCTCTTTCGTATCTCCTCTCGGGTTTTTACGTTTTTCCCTTTATCCCACCCTCCAACCCCCTCTACTGCATTCGCCGAAGGACGAGGAAGAATCTTGAGGGAAAAACCTGCCCAGGTACAATCGTCTCGTTTACGAGACTCCCCCTCGACAATATAACTGTGAGATTGAGAGTGTCAGAAAATTTGGCCACGCAGCCGGGAAGCGAACCCGGGTCTCTCGCGTGCCAATTCCCCACTCGAACCACACAGCCACGGCCGTCGGTTGCTTGGCTGTTCTTTTTTCTTGATAACTTGAAAACAAAGCGTTCACAGTAAAAAAAAAAATCGGTGTTAACGTCCCCAGTGTGAGGGGTTAAAGATTTCGGTGTTGAAATCAACTCTGTATGGGAGTTCAATTCCCGCTCAACCTAGAACCAAATTTTAGGCGCGGAGTGGATTTTTATTTTTCACACCCAAGTGTGTTGATTACCATGTTTACGTTGACACCATGGCGGTATCAATTTTCATTCCATTCATTACTCAATTCCGAAATGAATATGCTCCGTACATTCACACCGAAAGACGGCGTGGACTTGTTTTCACTCCTTTTGATGTGGACTCAGAGTCGAAATTCACTCAGAATTTTTGACTGTGTTGGAGACAAAAATTACATCAATTTTCATCTCCAAACAACCCTCCCGAGCTACCCTCGAGACACCCTGTATACACCGTTCTCTGTAGATACTCTCTCACATTAGAACCTCGATATCGAAATAAAAAAAGTGTGAAAAATGTTTGCCGTTGTGGTGTTAAGGAGATGAGCGGTATTACTCGCTGGGCGGTACAAGCACCGCTACCCGCATATACACCCCTTCTATGGTCTTACTCTTCAAATATGCAGAAACACAGCGGTCACTGAAATACCGAGCGACTATTAAAATTCTATCGCACCTATTCTCCTACATTTCTGACCTCTACCACTGAACCTTTTAATTAATTCTACATTCCCCATCCATCTCCATTTCCCACCCTCAAATGATATTCGAAACTTCTCCCCAGAATTTCAATCTCATTGAAATGAAAACTGCGTCAGTCTCAAATTATGATGGCCTCTATTTTCATGTAAACGACTTTCCTTTCTTTATTTCAAATGGGGGAGGTTTATAGTTCACCGAACTCAATCGACACGTGTGACTCACGTGCCTTAAGGTCGCGCAGCCCCTCATGTATGTCCCTGCGACGTGTCACCATCATCAAAGCCGTTGGACATATTTTACGGTTGATTTTTAAATAGTTCAACCGTGAATTTATGATGATAGAAATGGGGAGAGTCAAACCCATAGACAACTGTCGACCAACCACAAATGATTCTTCAGCTCGTAACACGAGTCATCAAGCACCAATGACTGTCAACCCTTTTACAAACAGCTGCCCATATCTCATTATAATATATTGATTAAGCCGGGTATGTACACACAATCATAACTAAGAGACATCGCGGAAGTGATGTTGCAAGTGTGTTCCGGGGTGGGATAGAGTGAAAGGGATGTCTACTGTATGATAGAATCATCTGACGCCACGGGCTGTTCTCCAGGCTAGACGAAGCGGAGAGAAATGGGTCGAGTTTTAAAATAAAAGCCCTCCACAGTAATTCCGCCCACACCCGTGTGACGCACCTACAAGACACGTCTGTTTCTTTCTTATTCCTCCCTCAACCGTAGTTAGTGTTCGTTGTGCAGGAAGAACGTTGTAAATAAGAAGAGCACGGCGATCGGCTGTCTGAGTCTTTGGCATGGCCTTTCGGTTAGTCTTCAAATATACATTTGTGACAGAGGCCGTAGCACTTGCTCCGCTCTCCACGTGTCGTCTGGGAACTCTGAAAATCCTCGACCATGCGCAGAATAAGGCGCATTGATACATTGACAGCGAGCTTTGATCACTCGAATCGTGGGTGTTAATTAGAGGGGAGTGAGCGCTCATAATTAAGAATTGAGAAGTGATATTTGACGATTCATACTTTCCTCATTCATCCGGAAACATTAGTCTTTATGTTTCCTATACGGATGTGGGTAGAGTTCGCCCACAGGGATTGCTGATAATTTGTAATTTTTGGTATATCGTTGGACATTGCTATCCTATTGTTGATTTCATCTAAAAATAATTCGACAGCGGTGTTCGTCGCCTTTGTTGGGTTGGTTCTGATGTATCAGAAGATCTTGATCGGTCCCATGGGTCAAATGATTCAGGAGGTAGACCGATCAAAAGGAGCCCACTTCAGACTCCTTTCTCGTAGCACTGGATTCTACACTATTTCGATATCCCCTCCTCTCTCTCTTTCTCTCTCTCTCTCT